TAAATGATCTGTGTTTGCTTGTGTTCTTTGCGTCTCATTTCTATGTCAGAAAGTACATATCTCACAACAATTGGCGCCGTCTGTGGGAAGATCCACACTTCTTGGCTAGAGGTGTCCGCGTAAAGGTGTTCGCGGTTAGCGACGAAGAAGAGGAGTTCGGCATTCACGAATCAGGAGAAGCAAGCGTAGCCTCTGATGACTACAATTCTGCTGAGGCCCTGGTGATCACAGAATCTGAATCCAGTAAGGAGTGGATCCTTGACTCGGGGTGTTCTTTCCACATGTGTCCTCACAAAGACTGGTTCAAGACACTACAACAAGAAAATGATGGGTCCGTTCTACTGGGAGACAATAAAGCTCACAAGGTTGTTGGAAGTGGATCAATCAGGATAAGGATGTTTGATGGAGTTGATCGAGTACTTAAAAATGTCAGGTACGTGCCAGAGCTAAAAAAAAATCTAATTTCTTTAGGTACGCTGGAGTCAAGCGGATGCTCGTTCAAGGCAGAGAATGGCTGCCCAGGGTCCGCCCTAAGGCCAAACAGTCCTAAGGGGACTCTCTTTGAGCTCCCCCATAGCGGCCACACCTACTAATTGTTGGAGGTTATGACTAATATGTGGAATTTTAAACTGAGCAAAGAAGAGTTTTATTTTGATCCCCAATTAATGAACTAAGGTAAAAGAGAAATTTTGTAATGTGGCACCGCTCACCTACCACATCTCACCTACCGCTCACCTACCTCTCACCTACCACTCTCTTGCTTCTATAAATAGAGAGGGTGTGAGGCTTAGTCGAGAAAGAGAAGAGATCTTAAGCTACCACAAAAGAGGAGAGAATAACTAGAGAGCTAGAGAGGAGGAGAGCATCTTGAGGCCCTGTATTAAGGTGTCGCTTGAGAGGGAGACCATAGAAGGAAGATGAGGGCTCATCTCTATGTATAAGCTATGTATTCTTCATTTCTTTTGCCTTAGTGAATTATTTGATTGATTCCCTCCCGTGAGCGTAAATCCAGTTGGATCAAACCACGTAAACGATCTGTGTTTACTTGTATTCTTTGCGTCTCATTTCTATGTCAGGAAGTACATATCTCACAACAATGTCCAACTTCAAGTGAAACAACATGTTAGTAAAATATATGTAAGAAAATAGATACAATTCGCATACTCTTTTCTTGAATTAAGTACTTCCAATCTCATGGCTTATGATTCGTGATTAAAACCAAAAAAAAAAAGAAACAAAAAAGAAACAAACAGATGGGCTGGATTATGATGTCAATTAGAGTTAAAAAAAGAAACAAAAAAGAAATAAACAGATGGGCTGGATTATGATGTCAATTAGAGTTAGTGGATTGGGATCGAGACCGACCCAAATTTAACCTAGATATTATCCTGCCTGATAATCCGAACCTCAACCTAACCCGACTTCAATCAGTCAACCTGAGCCCAATCCATACAACTCCTTTAATATAAGGAAACCCGGTATTTGGGTTAAAATTGAGTCAATTTTGAGCCAATTTAAAGCCAATTTTGAGTTAACGGCCAAATTTCTCATGAGTCGATGAGCTGATGTCCAATGTCGAATTGGAGTTTCGGATACCCCAGGCATAGTTTTCGGAAGCAGGTCTTAACAGAAGCTGAACCTCTTGCACAAAGTTTCAGCAACTTCAAAACGTCATGGGTCAACAGCAACAGCAGGCTTGGTAAAACATGGAACAGGAACAGGAACAGGGATCCAATTCCGTTGAGGACTACGTTGTGGGCTCGCTGCCAACTCTAATCTATATTCCCAACTTCATTACTGAAGCAGAGCAATCCGAGCTTCTTCACCACGTTTGTCTTCTCTCTTTCTCTCTGTTTGTTTAATGGATATATCAAATAACCGACGCCGATTAGTTCTCCAGATTTACGAAGGTTCCCCAACAAGATGGAAGAATCTGAAGAAACGCAGACTACAGAATTGGGGTGCTTGCTCGTTTTCTTTCATGTTTTATTTTATTTTTTTAGATTTGAAATATTTTAATCGAAATAAAAGGTGAGATTTTGATCGTCGAATCTTTGCAGGAGGGGTCGTGCACGAGAAGGGGCTTTTGCCACAAGAATGTGAGTATCACTAACCATATTCTTTTTATGTGACTTTAATTTCTGATTTGATGAGCTCTGCGAGGTACTATCGCTGAGACGCTTTTGTATTGATATGGCGTTGTTGTGTGGAAATGTCCATGCACATTAGGTGTTTGTAAAATTGCTTCGTTATGTCAATACTTTTTTTTTCCTTCTGCTATATGAGTGTGTATTTCTTGGGGCAATTTTTTTTTTTTTTTTTTCTATTTTGATGTTTTGCTAAAATTGATGAATTTCAGATTAACTTTTTCAAATAGTGCCTTTTTTCTCACGTGGGCTTTATTGCGCACCTTAAGTGTTCATTTGGCTACTAGTAGTTCCAAAAAATGCCTTGAAAAATAATGAAGTTTCTCAAATCCATTATTTAGTTGAAACTAGTGAGAAATCAACATTGATTTCAATTATCACATTTTTTTTTAACTCTCACAAAATTGATGATTTCCACACTCAAAATGATTGAAAATGAAATCATTGTTTCCTAAACATGTTTTTTTTTATATATTTTTACTCAAGCAATCAAAGAGCCTTAATTATGTGTAATGAGATGTTTTTGAACGTCTTGGTTAATTCGGGCATAGATCTTGAGCCTCTAGCTTATGTTGCCGCTTACTATTAGTGATTTTGATGATGGAAGGTTTTAGTGTATTTTCATGGTCATCTAATATTTGTCAGATTAATGCTTCTCACACCAAAAATTTCAGCATCAGGTCCACAACATAAATGTGGTATTTCATATGATAGATCTTGCGCATAGAGTAGGGATGATTGCTGAATTGTTTATTATGCAAACTATGACTTCTTGTTGATCTAACGTTGGGAAAATGGTTCGATCTATCTAAAGGTGAAATTTAGAAACTGTTATTTTAGACACGTATATGGATACTTTTTGACTTTTGAGCTTTGAAACACGTGGTTTCAAAAGGATTACATGAATGAGCTCATGTATTTTCCATGTCAAAACGATTTGACAGCTTATTGTGGGGCTACTGGATTATTAGAAACACAGTTCTCAATGAAAAAAATTTCGGAGAATATTTAGCTTATTGTTTTGCAAAAGATGGGATGGAAAAGAAGTGTTCTAGCCAAAAATCTTCTTCTTTTTATTAACTGTAGACACTTTATGGTGTACAAAGCATGCCAAAAATTTTTGTGTGGATTGCCTTTATTTTTAAATTATTTCGCTAACAACCAATTGGTCTTTAAAAAACAATTGTATTTCATAAATCAGTCTTTCTTTATGAGGTTGATCTGAATTTGATGATTTCTTCTGAGAATGATAGAACTTAATAATGATGGCTGCCGCTGATTTAGGCAATCGATTTCCAGCATTTGCATCAATGTCTATCTCTATTAGGTTTGTTTATTTGAAGCTTAGATTTTTATTTTTAGGGGATATCAATTACATGGCACTTGAAACATAAGCCAGAGGCAACACCTATTTTCAAAGTTTGATCATTTGAAGCATTAATCTGACCATTTTCACGGGCTATAACATACAATGACAACCATTTCTCATCTATCTCAAGGTCTCCCTTTTGAAGTGTCAAACCAAAAAGAAGCTTCCTGTGTCTCAACATCCTCATGTATTTTGTAAAATCTTTGCTTTCATCTCATAATTTTTACACTCTTTTTTTTTCCATTAACTTTCTGTATTGCCGTTTATTTCCTACTTTTTTTGGGATTATTTACCCATTCTCTCTCTCATTCATCCAAATGCAACACCTATTTTTTACTAGTCTTCTCTATTTTAACAGTGAACCATACTTATAACTTGATGATTATAATTTTATATTTTCATCATGCATTCTTTTCTTGCAACTTGAGTTTATTTTCAGCTTATTCCATGCTCATTTTTATAATAATATTATTTCAAGATTAATAGATATCAAAATGTGATCCCGTTAACCTGAAAATAGCAAAAAGCTTTATTATGTTGAACATAAAAAAATTCTTCTTTTTCATTCCTCTTTAATATGTATTATCAGTATGTTATTTTGATATTTTAAACATATAAAATTAAAATAATGAAGCTTACACTTTGTGCTTTGAAGCATAATCTCTTTTTGAAACATTGATATATGGTAGAATCGTCATACCATCTATATAATTAGATCTCTTTGTTGAATTGAGTGATGTTGTCACTGTTTTGTAGAGAATAGAAGTGTCATATGTAAACTATTAAAACTCTTTTTTGTAAGCCAGATGTTGACCCATCAAATCTTTGATAACTTGATATAACAACAACAACAAGCCTTTATCCCACTACATGGGATTTGTTAAATGAATCAGTTTGTAGTTTGATAAGTTAGTATATATAAAAAAAAATTCTAGGGACATTTAATTGGGTTTCCACATGCTAAATGAGTCATTGAAACAGACTATTCTTTGTTATATGATATACTATATTATGATTTGTTGGCTCGCAGTTGATTCGGGAATTAAATCTGAATATTTATTTAAAGTGCTTCACGTTTTGACTACTATAACAACAATTTTGCTTTTCACCTCACATTGGCTTTGTTTTTTGTAGTGCCTCCTTGGCTTAAAAAAATAACGAAGAGAATTTACGAAAAAACGTCATTATTTCCCTCAGATATCAACCATGTTCTAATAAATGAATATTTGCCCGATCAGGGCATAATGGTCAGTATATTAAGTGTTAGTAAAATCTCTGATTGCTCACTTTTTTTTTAATTTTTTTGGCTCAAATGTGTGCTTCTGCTGCATATATAGCCACACCAGGACGGTCCAGCCTACTTTCCAGTGGCTTCAATCTTGTCCCTGCAATCACCTGTTGTGATTGATTTCACCCCACACCCAAAATGGAGAGAGTTTGGTGAGAAGGAGAGATTAAGGTCTGAAAATCTCAGTAACTTAGAAGAACAAATATCTGAAGTTGTGAAGGAGGATTTGTTAAATGAATTAGTTTGTAGTTTGAAAGATGATCAATGTTCTCTTCTGTTGATGCCTTGCAGCCTATTGCTATTTAAAGATCAGGCTTACTTAGGTAAATATTTTTGTTTCTCGATCATATTTTGAATTTTTTGCTCGAATTTTTTATTTGAATATTTAGTGTTCATTGTTGCAGATTTCCTTCACGGTATAAAGGATTCCACGGTTCACAGTCTAAGCAAGGTAAGAATTTCACGTACAAATGCTGTAGATTGAGAAAGATGTAGCATTTGTCTTTCAAAGTTGGAGATTTTTTATGAAATGTAAATTTCTTTTGATGTTTTTCTCTTTGATTTTTCCTTTATTTTGTTTACTTAGGTTATAAATGTTTCTGAGTGTATGAAATTAGAAGACTGGAAGGAATGTCATCCTACTACCAATGGAAAAACTCAAGAACATTGCTTTAATCGAACTTCAACAAGGGTTTCATTGACATGTCGGCTGGTGCCAAAAGTTTGCAAGAATCTGTTCAAGTTCTGACGTTCAATAAAACATTTGGATTGAACAACTTTTTATTTTTCTGAACAATTAAAATATTTATTGCATTGTTTGAGGTTTTGCTTAGATAGAAGAGAACGAAATGAACTTTAAAATCAGGCAATTTGGAGCTTCATTAGGAATGTGAGGCTATCTATTTTAGATTTCTCCATTTTCTTGCCACTCCAGTGTAGTGGATCTTGATTGTAGGTTGAGCTATTGTAATATTCTTCATTAATGACTGGAATGAGAAGAACGCTTTAAAATTGCTATATTTTAAACTTACTAAGATGCAGTTTATGGATACAAAATATGCTTGGAGCTGATATCATGAAATGATCATGGCAGTGCTTTTCTCATTTTATTTTATTTTATTTTATCTTTTCCTATAAATGTGGTGTTTTGTCTTAATTCCAATTGGATGCATGCTTTTTCAAAAAAATCCAATTTTAGGATCCGTTTAGGTTAACTTTTTTATAATATTTTGATAAGGCTATAAATTAAGATCTATTTTTGTAAGTTGAAAGATTATATAATATTGCAACAGCTTTCATTTTTTCTTTATATATATATATATATTTTCTTTCGCAATTAATTTTATAGCTGATTGTAGTTGTTCCAAATAGACCATTTAAAAAAAACCTTTTTTTAATGTCGCTTTGGCATTCTTTGAGCCACCCTTTTCCCAATTATATGTAGGCTCTTAGGATCATAATCTTGTTAGTAGTAATTGAGTTATTGTTATGTAAATATAGAGATTTTGGTGTTAGAAATGTAAATGCATAAGAATCCTGTTGTTTGTATGTAAATGCCCCTTTCTGGTATTTCTGATATCTAGAATATCATGTATCATCAAATGGAGTTCTAGGAATGTATATGTAGGATTCTAATAGTTTAATTTCAATGATCAATTGGAACTTATAACTATAAGGTATTATAGCTTCCAGCGAAATAGCTTGATTTTAAAACAAATCTCTTTGCAAACATACGAGGCATGATAGGTAGTCCCGCTTGAAGCATTTGTGGCCCTCATCTCTAAGCAGTCGATGATCAATGAGGGAGGTTCTTATCAATGTTGGACTTAATAAACTGAAGGGAAGGCACTTGTAATCTAATTGAAGGTAGTAGTGTTGAATTGGGTGGTTTTTGAATAAAGCTAATATTGTAAATAGATATTTTTTAGATTGTTATACAATTACTTCACATAATGTTTATACTTTTTTCTTAGGTCTTGTATTTTATATTCAAGATTGGCATAGATTAATTTAGTGTTGAACACTGTCATTCCTCTTTGTCCTATAAGGTCATTGATATCTTAAGGATGTTTACAATTAGGACAGCGGGATTTTTTTGTCATGTTTATTTGTAATGTTATGATGTATTGTTTGAATTAATTTATTTGATTTGAGATTAGCAGATGCTTACCTAATTGTATTAGAATTATTTGAGTTTGTGTGAGCGGTTGGTTTGGGCTAAATACCAGTCTATAATGATTGTAATGACTATTGGTTGAAGTAGAGGTTGTGGAGCTTATTTGATTGCTCGCATTTTTCCATGTAAGTATATGCTTTTGCTTGTGTTATAATTATTTGGGGAGACTAAGCATGTGATTGGTTTTTCTATGTAAAGGGACTTACCTGTGCCTCTGAAGGAAGCACGATAGGATCGTCTAGGGCATCTTCAATCGCACCGTTTTTTACTTTATGCAAATGAACTGAAGGGCATCAACATATGTATTATATATTATATCTTTACCTTTATGCCCTTAAATGTATTTACTAGTTTGCCACTCCAGGGGTTATAAAAACCAACTTAATGCAACTGTTAAAATGTGAATGAAAATCAATTTTTCCTTCTATTTATTTCTCTCCTCTGCCTCCTATTAAGAATAACTCATGGTATCAGAGCATTATCGGGAGGTGACAATTAGCTTTAAAGCTTCAAGATCCTTGACTTCTCCACCTCCAACGCGTTACGAAGCATCTCAGCAGCCAATCAGCATGCTGAACAACATGAAGGAAATCAATATTCCAGTAGCGTTAAAATTTTTTATTACAAACATCAAGTATGCTGTTACTCAACCCCTCACCTATGAAAACTACGCTATACGTGAGGTACAAATCAGTAAAATCTTTCTTGTTAATGGGTTTGAATCTTTTTAGAAACCAGCATTTCAGCCCCTTCACAATCTTCTCAAAAATCCCCCCCAACTTAAACCACCAGTCAAGATTAGCAGCTGTGGAATTGATAGATCAGAATGTAACTGTAGTTATGTTTTCCACCAAATCAGCATCTGTTCTGTCATATGTTCTTCATCTCAACAACACCTCTGACATATGACCCACTCTTGAATGAAAAATTCAAGCTACCAATAGATCTTGGGTTATACAGCTCAAAAATGAGTTGCACAACCTCAAAATGGGCAATAACATGGCGCAATACCTCACAATTATCACGACCATGGTTGAAAAAATAGTTGTAGTCGGATATACCATTGATAAAGAAGATATTTTCTTATACACACTCAATGGTTTATCCGCTACCTATCAATGGCTTAAAGGTGCAATTCGCACTCAATTACGACCACTATCTCCAAAGGAATTCTACTCTCTCCTGAATAAAGGAAAAGGTAATCTTATCAATGAAAACCTCTAGAATTCGCCTCAACAAGCCTTATTCCACTATAAAACCAAAAATTACAATACAAGAACCATTCTAAACCTTCTTTCAATACAAAGAATTCTGTCTCTACCAACAACAACAAAAACAAAAACCTTCCAATTTGTCAAATTTGCCATAAGAAACATCATACTGCTGATCTATGCTAGCATCGCTAGAATCAACAATACAAGCCTTCCATGACCCATCAAGTTTCTGCATTAACCTCTATTCTTAGTTCGAAGGAACAAGAATGGGTTCTTGATGCACGAGCTACGGTGCATCTCATGCCTTACAGTGAAAACTTGCACAACCCAAGCTCCTAACACGGGACAAGTCAAGATTGCCGTGGGAAATGGTCAAACAGCTGAAATATCTGATCAAGGTGCTGGGTCATTACCCACATCAGTTCGTAAGCTCATACTTTCTACTCTTTTTTATGTTCCTCACAACTCACATAAATTAATTTCAGTTTACAAAGTAGCTAAAGATAACAATTGCACTATTATATTTGATGTTCTGGTTTCACAATTTAGGATCGCCTTACTCACAAAATTCTTGATGTTAATGGTCTCACAATTTAGGATCGCCTTACTCACAAAACTCTTCTTCATGGACCAACACAGAAAGGGTTGTATCCAATTTCTGCTCTAACAACAATGAAGAACAATTTTCATTGGCACAATAGGCTAGGGCATCCTCATGTCAAAATCTTGCAACATATTTATCATATGCATCCTTAACCAAATATGTCAAGCTCGGTTTATCCTTCTACTCAATGCTACCAAAACAAAAGTCATAAAATGTCTTTTACTTCTAGTATTACAAAATATAAATTGCTTGAGATGTTACATATTAATATTTAGGGTCCGTTTTCTCAACCCTCTATTAATGGCTATAAGTACTGCATTACTTTTATTGACGCCTTTTCTCATTATTGTTGGTATTGTCTTTTACTTGTAAATTCTTATGTTACCTCCTACTTTATTTCCTAGCACAAACAATATGCAATCAATTTTGATATACATATTAAATATTTTACATCAGACGAATGTACTGAATATAAAACACTTATCTTTAAAATAAACTTCAACATCATGGCATTTAACATCAAATAAGTTATCCTTATATGCCTGAACAGAATGGCATAGCGGAAATGAAAAATAGACATATTATCGAAACCGATAGAACCTTATTAAATCATGCCAAATTACCTTATCATTTTTGGATGGTTGTTATTCACAAAGCCGTCTATTTAATCAATCGTTTTCCCTCCCCAAACAAATCACAAAAATCTCCCTTTTCCCTTTTATTTAACAGAACTCTTGAACTTCAACACTCGGGAACTTCTGGTTGTGTCTGTTTTCCCTGACATCCTTCTTTACACACACAAATTTTTTACCCAATTCACCTCTTTGTATTTTCCTCTCTAAAACAAGAAAAATTATTGCATACATACACCGCATGTAGAGATGCATCCTTCTTTACACACACAAATTTTTACCCAAATCACCTCTTTGTATTTTCCTCTCTGAAACAAGAAAAATTATTGCATACATACACTGCATGTAGAGATGCATGTGGTGTCAGATCCTGACCGTAGATCACGGTGATCTACTGTCAGGATGCAATCAAAATTTTTTTGAAAAAAAAAACAATTTAAAGTGGGCCCCACCAAAATACATACTGACCGTAGATTACCGTGATCTATGGTCAGGATCTGACACTACATGCATCTCTGCATGCGGGGTATTGCAGTGTATGTATGCAATAATTTTTCCTGAAGCAAGCATGCTCGAGATCTTCTAGGGCATCTTCAATCTCACTGTTGTCTATTTTCTGCGAATGAACTGAAAGGCATCAAGTAAACATATATATTATACAATGTATTTTTACCTTTATGCCCTTAAATGTATTTACTAGTTTGCCACTCCAAGGGTTGTAAACCCTGCTTAATGTAACTGCTAGATGCAAATGAAATTCTATTTTTCTCTATGTTTTATTTCTCTCCTGTCTTCTATTAAGAAATTCTCACTATGTGACACTCCTTTCATCTTTTGGTCTTAGATTTTGTTATGACTGTTAGCTAAATCAAATTTTTAATTTTGGAAATTCTCTCTCTCGCTCTCTCTTATTTTGTATTTATATGTGATGGGGTCAAGTAGAACCTCATTTATTTATATGTTGATTAGTAAATTAATGGATGTGCAAAGTGAGACTTTGTGTAAACCTCACATCATGTTTATTGGGTATGATGATTATCATTCTATGCTTGCAATATGCTTTTGATGAGATGTTAAAAATACGTAGTTGTTGTCCGGTAGATTTTAAACCTCACCTTAGTTGCTCTTCTTGATAATTTAGTGCCTATGGATTCTTATACTTAAATGGCTTGTGTAATGGTTTATTTGAATTTTGACATTGTCGGCATAGTTTACATATTGTACGCCAAAATTTTAGGAGGGAACAATTGTAAAAAATCATTTTAATCCAATGTTGGCATAGGATATATATGTTAGATCATAGGCTTGATTGTAGAATTTATTTTATATAATTGATTGGTGGTTTATTTGAATTTTTAAAATGAATTTCTTTAGGTGGGAGCAATTGTAAAAATACATTTTAATCCAGCCCATTCAAATTAGGGTGGTTCAATTGAACCATGTTGACCTAGTTTTCTTTTTTATGTTCAAGCCTTCTCCCATCTTTATTAATCCTAAAGTAAGAATTAGAGCACAAAACAAATTGAGAGAGGAACGAGGCCATGGAACGAGAGGAGGTACATATGGGATGAATGGAGGGAGGGTCTAGGCATATGTGAGCAAAGAAACAAGTGCAATTATGCTTGACCAAGTGTGGTCAAGCACTGGGGGCTTATGCCTGCGCAACATGAGTAGGAAATATTGAACATTGGGAGCGAAAAAAAGTTTGATTATAGATTGCTAAGGGCTTGAAAAGAAAAAAGAGCACGTGATGATTTGGTGATTTGCGAAGGAATAAGAAGAACTAGAATTTTTCATAGATAGTTTTCCTCTTCATTTATATAAGGAATAATCCAAAATAATTGCAAGGTCATCAAATTTTCAAAGATTAGTGCCTACACATTTTTTGTTCAATAATATCACAATAAATCGATTATAAATATGTGAAAAACAATGATGCCTGATGTATAAATATAAAATGCTTATAAGTGGATATTTTTTTATTTGAACATATTGATTATAAGTATACATGGAAACTCCATCAACCCTACAAGCACTACTAAAAAATATAAAAAAAAAAATCAACAGTGAAAATCTTATATTTCATACAATGTTTACAACTATTATATTTTAATATCATATTGTCATTCGTGTCTCTGTAATCACAAATTTATGTCTAATGCTTATTATTTCTCTTATTGAGTTTAATTCTCACAAATGATGCTCCTTATCATATAATTTTCAAATGAATAGCTGTGCATCTAGAGGAACTTCTAGGCACTTCAGATACATCATTGTAAGATAATTAAGCTTGCTAGTTATATAATTGACTCAATGGATTTTGAAATAGATGAATTTTCTATGTATTACTACTAGATTTACATGCATTAGTGATCTTCATTGAGTGCTAAATCCTGATTATTAAAAGATTTGTAGAAAATATATAATAATAAAATGATTAATTTTGGTGCATCTTGATTTTAAACAGTTTCAATTATTTTGGTTCATCAAGAGAGGATAAAAATTCAATATTTTTTATATCATTGAGACAACGGAAACAGTTAAAATTCAATGAAATTATCAAAACAAATGAAATCAAAACTCCCCGAAACAAAAACATAAAATCAAAGTCGAGCATTAAAGCCATGACTGTAATGATGTTAACAAGAACATCAGATTTTAATTATAATTTTAAAGATTGAGTTTGAATTAACTTTAAAGCAATTGTACATATATGATTACCTACCTAATCACAGGATGCGTACTTGATGAAACATACAGCAAAAAATAAAGCAATAAATATATTATTGTAGCTTTTGAGTCAATTCAACTTCAGCTTAAAGCCACGCAATAGTCATCAAACTTCTGCCCAAATCTTGAGGAGATCAAAACTAAATAGGGAATTTTACATGCATAACACAATTCTTATGTATTCACATATCTAATACCTAATTTGGGGGGTCATAAACATGTGCATGAGAAGCATTTCATTTTTATAAAGTAAATCAAAATTATACTTTTGATGTACTACTAAAGATTTGTGCGCTATGCATGTAACAAAAAATGAAAGTTTTTAGGTTTATGTGGTATGTATGTAAATGTCCCAATTACATACTTTGAGCCCATAGCACTTTTTGGTGCATTTGCAAGATGCAACTATATCAGTTACAATGCAGTGAAAGAGTACCTCGTGATGCATGCACAAATCTATAGTTTCTGTCATGCCAAAAGCTTATGCCAACAAACTTAAGTTTCAACAAATCCGAAGATTCGGTATAATAATACTATTTATTTTTGTGGGATAAGTCCATTTACAAAAAAGCAACAAAGAGTGAAGGCTGAAACCAAAAGGTTAAGTAAATAAGAGAAACAAAATTAATAATAACATTGCAAGCATTTGAACCATATAATATAACATGCACCGAAAAATGGTAGCAGTGTAACAGACATTCACAGCGAATAGAGGGAAAGCTTAGCAATTGTAGCCTGGATCATGTCCCACAGTTTGTTTCTCCTCGGGGCCTGAATTACAGAGGAGAAGAGCTTCTGGATTTTTGCATATTATTGTCATCCTGGGAAGATTTACGAGTAAATCCGGAGGACATTGCTGAATAGCTTGAAGAAGAAACCAACTGCGCTAGAGCAGGTACAGCACCACCTGCGTATGCATGCGGAAAAAGTTGTGAAGATGAGTTGAGTCAATAGAATCAAAATCTAAGGAAGCCAAAAGTACAGCCTTGTTAATTCTCTTGTGGTCAATGAGCTGTCATTGTAAAGTTGATGCTTTAAATGATATTTGAATTTTTTGTCGACTCTATTTAGGGTCTCAAAATAGGATCTGTTTGAGACAGCTGCAGCATCTTATAAATGCGGTTGTGGAGTTGCAGTAGAGAAATCAACTTTTTTTAACAAAGATTTACATACATACCGCTCAATGTAGTGTACTAAATGTTAATAAATGATTCCAGAATGTTCAAGAAAACAAGGCTACGTGCATTGATTAAAAAAAGGATGCTTGACAAATCATGTCATGCTTTGCTAGAGGAAACTAAAAAAAGATACTGTAATTCAATGTGCTATCAAAAAGAACAAAATTTGCTCATGGGTATAGAAAATTATAAAAATATTATCCACGGAATGCAAATTGCAAATAGATCTTAAAAATTAAAACAGAGTGATTTCATACCTGCTAGTCCAGCACAAGCAGAAGAGAATACTATCACCGGTGGAGCCTGCACAAAGGAAGTAACGCAAATTTAAGCTATAAGCCACAGCAGAATTGTATTGATAGGAATGTACCATATTATAAAATATTATTCTATATTACCTTTTCCTCTCAAATTACTTTAAAATATAGACCAACTTTAAACTATCTAGCTCATTGTACATACATGAAAGTAAAAATGCCGTAAATATGTCTACACCAGAATTTAGGAGTTTTTCCTTTCACCATAAAAAATGCGCTTAGGATCACATGTGAATTACAACCAAGGAGAAGCATAGTCACATCAAAAAGAATTACCTTTAAAGACATAATTACTAAACCACACTATACAAAAAAAATTAACCATCTTCCAAAGGATGTGCTGAAACACAAGTAATGAAATTTTTAATAATAAACATCAATCTAAGCCATTGACGTTTTAAAATGGTGATCTCCACCATAATCAATTTGATTAGTGATAGAGTGACTAGATCTAACATTTCCGAGGCCCTCCTAAATTATAAAATCATGATAAATTGTGCATAAGACAACTTTTCATTAGCCATCATAGATAACTTGTAAAATCTTCACTTTTTATAATGTGAAAACTTTCATGTTGATGTCCTCAAACCAAAAACTGTATTAAAATTGAGAGCGCTGGTCTAAGATCAAATCATGAGTATGCATCACAAAAAAGCTTTATGCCTTTGTCAAACCCTTCAAACAATGTGCTAAAAACAAAAAAAAAAAAAAGCCTTCTACTACAACAAATGTAAATCCACG